AGTGAGGGGCCCTGGGAAAAAATAATCTCTTATCGGATTTACAGAGGGGATTTCCGTCAAATACTGCAGCTCAGGCATTCATAATGTTTGCAGGGAGTGAGTTACCTAGATAAGCCAGGCAGAGAGCAATGTAATTTACTATCCCCAATCTTCCATTCCATATTTAAAGAGTGCCAACTGCTAATCACCAAGAAACCAATCTTTCATGTCTTCCTTCCAAGCACTGTATTTAGAGTGATTCTGACCTGCATACTGTTATTTATGGGTTTTGCAAGTAACGTGAATCTATGGAAGGTTAGCTCTAATTGTGACAGAACTGTCAACTATAGGTACAGGTACTAGAATCACATCCGATAAACATATTTCCAGTGTAGATGGCACCCTACTGTTCATACTTTAAAAAAAGAGATATTATTCATTAGGCATTAATGAAACTCTTTCAGCAGTGTCTCAAGACAGGTAGAACCAACTGAATTGAAAATTGCAATGTTGTGCCTAAATGAAGCAAAGCTTTACAAAAACAAAGTAATAATAGACCAATAAGTCTTATTTCTGTTACATACGGGATTGGTTATGGAAATAATCAGATCAAAATAAAAGGATCATCTGTATTTGTTAAATTCAAAAGTAGAGTTGGCTGGATGCACACTCTAAGCTCCAAAATATATTTTATTGAACAATTTGTTAATAATCCTGCACAAAAGCCCTCATCAGAGAAAACATTTGGCTTACTGAAAATCCACTATCCGTATGTGTTCCACAAACATTCTCACTCCATGTGAAAGGAAAATATCCATTGTATTAAATTGGAAATTGGTAGAATCATAGAACCATAGAACCATAATTGAATTAACAGGCCCATGCAATTGTATAAATAACAATTACTATAAAAAACAATTAAATACATATACAGTGCAGTACTAACACCATCAAAAAACAAATATTATCAAAGCAAGAATATTAATTTAGAATTCGTTTTCAGAATTTATTGGGTAGTTTTATCAATCTACTCTTATTTTTATTTCAGGTTGAAAATATAATTCTGTGTTCAATCAATATGGTGTCATGAACTTAAATAGGAAATCAAGAAAATATCTCTTTAAAAGTTCTTCTGACAAGTTATTAGATTTAAACCCTTTTAGTCTTGAACAGAGTAGATTATTAGGGGATCTAATTCAAATATTCAAAATTCTCAAAGATATTGACATACTATAATCAGATCACTGGGAATCTTTAGAATCAACATTAAACATGAAACGTGACACATGTGGAAACTATGCTGAAATTGTTTTAAAACTGAGAAGAGGAGTTACTTCTTTACGCAAAGGTTTGTGAAACCAAATACCCAACCATGTTGTTGTTGAAGCAGATATTGTTTTTAAGAAATGACAGGATAAAATCTTCAGATAAATTAGTTACTCTAAAATCCAATGAGCTAGCTGGCTAAATGTCCAGGCCAGGGTCATGTCATTAAATTTTATATACAAAGCATCAAGATGAATGTAGAAATTGAATAAGTTCAGAAAAAGTATAGCATTAAATATTGGTACAATTTGTTACAACCATAAGAAAGGAAAGCAGGAAGAGTTCTTCAGTGTCCAACATACTTAATCTGTTTTAAGTGTTTGTCTTTATTGCACTAGGATTGTTGCCTTGAGGCTTCTGTCTGTTTGATTACTGTAAAGTTAAATTAAAGTCCAATTACTTCTTTTAATACCTATATGAGAAAAAAAAAACTAGCGACTTTAAGAATTCTATTCTGTCTTCATTTAATGATTGTAGTGCAAGACCAATGAGAATAACACACAATAAACACGATACAGGAGGGGAAAATAAAATTTCTAATAATCTTATTCCTAACTGGGTTATTTCCTGTGCTACTTTTGGAATTTTTCTGACAAACTGCTGTATTAAGCACTTTTTTCTCACACACACTACTAATACAGGAAACCAGTACTGTATTCAAGACAACACATTACAGAGATGCAATTCCCTCTCTCTTTTCAATATAGATACAATACTGTAGCATTTGCATGTATATAGTGAATTCACTGCAACCACCCCCAGGCACTTTAAAACGGTCTGGTTTCATGATGATTATTGCCTAGAGAAAATTAAGAAAGCAGTCTCATAAAAGAATACGTTAGTGTTAACCAAGGCACATGGCCAGGTGTACAAGATGATTATTTTCCAACTTTTTGCATGTTTCATAATTTGTGTTGTTTTCAATGTTTCTTATGTGCTATTTAATTTGAATATGTCTTTCACACAGTTTTCTAGGCCCATGCAGATGCAATAAAAAAAGGCAATTGATTCATTAAAATCTTATACTGTAGCTATATGAATTATGTTAATATCACTCCTAAAAATGGCAGCGGTCTTAACAGAAGAGGAAGGACAACAAGAAAAAGAATATGAACAAACAGAAAACAATGAATCAATGAAATAACCACAGCAAGAGCAGTAGTGCTATTAATTAATGAGGAAATATCTGAGTTTCCTCTCTGGGTTCATGTTTTTATGTGTATTGTTACTTCTGGAGCTTACTTTGCATTCTCTGGCTCAGCCTGGTATTATTTATAAATGTGCAAATGTGTTAATATCTAGAGGGGATTGTCAAGTTGCACAGGCACATAGGAGTAATTTAGGTTGAAACCACAAAAGGGTTCTGTAAGTAAATCTCTTGTTATACTAAACTGGGACAAATCATCCAAATAGACAAAACCACATGGTACAGATGAAATGACATGTAACTTTACATTTGAGCTATCTCAGAACTTTTACTGACAAGATTGGGACATTAATGAAGACTTTATGATCAGTTTATTCCAATTGAAAATCACCCCAAAACATCAAACATTAAGTCTTATAGTGCTGTGAGCATTGAAAGTCAGTAGAAATAAGCCACACATTGAGTCACTGATAAAATAAATGTGACCTGAATCACATTATGTTGCTTGATCGCTAAGCTATATAGAGACCTGTCTAGGGAACACACAGAAAGGCCAGGCTATTCTAATGATGAGACCTGAGTAGATTCACACAAGTGTTCAATGCAACCTCCTTACTCATGGGAACTTGGATGATGACAGCAAACAAACAGGCCAGTGACACGTCTCTCTAATTAGTGTAATTACCTTCATGGTACTTTGGTGGCTACATGGCAGCATGAAATGTCTCTGGGAAACCTACCTACAGCTGTGAGCTTTCAGGACAACACCAACTGTCAATAATTACTTTGTGCTTAATGTGAGAGAGGTCATTTCCATCCTTGTCCTTGAGAAAGGTGTTTTAATAAATCCAAACATGGATACTGGGGCAGAGATAGGTCACATGGCTCAGCGTTGCTGTGTTGTGTTACTTCTCAGAGGCTTTTTATACAGGAATGGAGATAAGACTCCCTTTGCCAGAAGCTGCACCACCTGATAATGTAAAATCTAAGGCACCGAACAAGACTGGCCATAGATAAGAGTGATCTAGGAAACATCTGGGCAATTAAAAATCCTATAATTCCTTTTACTTTGTCACCCACACAGTGTAGACCCTGTGAAAAGCCATGCAGATACAATTTACTGTATATTACTATACAGAAGTACTGTCCAGGCCATTCAGTAGGTCTTGAAAGTAATAGTGTGTAATAGTACAGTTTTGCTCTAATAATTATTTAGGGTTAGACGAATCCATGACTGGTTCATGATTCTGTGTCTCCTAATTTGATATTCCCATGCAGTTTTGCCAGTAAAGGTGAACACTTGAACTGTATCGCTGTATCAACTGTATCAATGAACTGTATCACCAGGTGTCACAAGTTTAACACCTGAGTGATGTCATTGACTGTGACAGGGATTCTTCAACTGACAGGGAATGGCTTGTCCAACACTTCCAGGAAGCCAGGGACTGGCCAGCAGTGACATTGATAAGGGATGTTCCACTCCTTCACTCAACACTGAACTTCCAATAAGTGGCGCCAGAGATTTGAACGGATCTGTGAGCTGGCAGATTGAAGGAGTTTTTTCTGACCTTGCTCATCTCCTTGTACTGTATGTGCACTGTGGTTGTTACTGTGAAGAAGGACTTATAAATACAATGTGAAATGCCAGACTGGGCCGGTACTGTATGTAATAAAATATATTGCAATTGTGCAATAAATAAAAAATAGAAACTAGAATTTGACTGTTCTGAAATATAGAAGGTTATACCATCCTTTTTATTGTAGTGCTATTTTATCATTAATAAATTTGCTTCTGATGTCAGGCCTTAAATTTCTTCTATATTACATTCTGTACCTAAATCCAGAAAGCATCTACACATGTGCCCGCAGACAGTGGGCCTCCCCTCTCTTCTTTGTTTGTTGGCAAGAACTAAAAATGAGTAATGGAATGGGTTTCCATTTAATAGCTAAGTTTTACTGAGGTTGGAAAAGTAATGATAGCCAGACCAATTTGAATCTACTGAGTTACAGGTTTACCATTAGACACAAGAAGCTTTTTTATGAGTGTGGGAACAGTCCAATAGTATAGACATCATTATTTCCATTAGCTGACTGTGACCCAGAGTCCCTATACTGTGGGACATGATTGGCCAAAAGCCATTGGAATCAGGAGGGTATGAATCAGTGTGGATATCATAGGTATCAGCCTACATAATCCCAACAATAGTTGCCACATTGATATACAGTACCAGGTGCCTGTCTTTCTACATGGTTAGGAGGGACAGCAAAACCACTCCTCAAGGCAGTGCTAACAGCTTATGTGCATGGACTCACAATAAGATGGATGAATGTCACTTGTGCACATTTCCAGTGGTGTGCATAACACCCTCACATTGGTAAAACATGGGTTATGGCAAATACAGCATGAGTAAAAATAGAATACCAAGTTTACTTGGCCTTCATAATCCAATGCACACCATCAGGTGGATACTGTACCACGAATTTCTGAATTTAAATGACTTCATTAATTTTCTGGTTGCATTTTGCATTGACTGGTATTTGGTTACAGGGACATCAGTGATGAAGGTGACAGCCTCAGATGCAGATGACCCCACCTACGGCAGCAGTGCCAGAGTGGTGTACAGTGTCTTGGACGGAGAGAGGTTCTTTACTGTGGACAGCAGGACCGGTAAGACACAAACATTGCAAACACAGCAGAACGTTTTAATGCACAGTATTTTACATACCCACAGTGGAGTTCAGGAATTCAGATTCTATTTAACTTAATTTTTTTTCACAGAAGGTTTTAGGAATCAGCAGCTCATGAAACCTTGAAACGAGTGACTTCCTATACAGAGACAGCCTCACCTGCTTTCCTGCACTGTTATTGTTATAGAAAACCAGGTCTTATTAAGAATAATCTCTGAATAATTGCAAAACTGCAAAAAAACAATGATGATGCCAAGTAAAAAAAAAATCAATATTTGAATCCACTATAGAGCAATGTAGTAAACCTACAGTCTAACTTGTAGTTGTTTATTTTTCCCTACATTCAGCCTTTTTAGTGCACAAGAGTGGCACCCCCCCCCACCCCCACCTTTGCAATTCTGTATTATTTTTTGCAAGTTAATACATTGGGAGCTTTCAGAAACCCTTGTAGCTTTTGCTGTCCTGTTAGGGGCAGAGTCCCTGAAGGAAAGCACTAAACTTTTAATGATTCCTTTTTTAGTCTTCTTGGTTTAATTCCATTTCTCCTCGAGCTAGGATGATGAATGACCCTGACTCAGGAGAGAGCGATGACAGACTCACTACTCAGTCTGGCCTTTGCAATTGTGCATGGTTATTGAGCTCAACAAAGCTGTTTAAAGGTACAGATGAGAAAGGTTAGAATGGAGGAGAAAGCCACAGAGGCCTCTTATAGTATATACTCTTCCTAAGCCAGAACTGTCATCAGCTCTTGTCTAGCAAAACATTTACCTATTAAGGAAAAAAAGGCTGTCAGGTTCTTCTTTCTAAACTATATATAAGTAGATTAAATAGTTGTATTTAAAATAATATATAATATAAAATTAACGTTTTCTGTGCTTTTGTTTTAAGAAATAGAGTCCTGTATCTCTGTTCTAAAGCTGCCATAATCACACCATAGTAATGCATATGATACATTTCCATCATTTGAAAAATCAAAATTATATTTAAATTTAAGTTAATCATTAGTTCTGTGTCCCTTTCCACTTTGATAACATTTTGTGTTGTGGGAACAATATTTGTTTGCTACTGCTAACACTTAAGAATATAGAGCTGTAGCAAGAAACCCTGCAGCCAGTCACAGCCTAAAGATGTCAAACAGCATTATTTTTGGTTGGTGGACTCGACTATGGAAACCATTGAAAATGCACTTTTCCACACAGAATATTATCTCTTTTTTAAGACATTAATCTGGGAAAGACATCTTTCCCAGTCTTTAGTTTCAAAACAACACTAATAATATTCTAATAATAGTGTAATTATAATGTTCTTAAAGCGATAAACGTCTTTCATGATTTGTCTACACTAGAACACAAATATGATTGTCTAATGCACAAAACTTCTTCTTTCTCTTTCTGTCTTATCCTTCTTCCCTTGTTCCCCCTTTTTGCCTCCTCCTCAAATTCTTGCTGCTCTTTCAGAATTCAGACAGTTGTGTGATGCTAATGAGAAAGAGTAAACTGGTGAAGAGTGCAAGTATTTCAAAGTTCTATGCCCCAGAGCCCTTCACTCAGTGATTTACCCTGCAGCATGTTTACACAGTGCATTTACGAGAAGGTTTTTCTTCCATTGCACTAATTGGGAGCGTAGGTGTCCATAGGACTGCCTTCATAAGCAGGAAACCAGATCTCCTAGCTTCCTATTTTCTCTGTTTTGTCTTCAAAACTGAGAGAAAAGAACGAAGTTGTGTAGTGGTTTGTTCAGCAGCCCTTTCTGTGACTCAATGACTTCTTGTCTTGAATTACCTGTGGCCTGTTTTGGATTTGGTTTTGGAAAGTTTTGTTTTTGCTGTTGCTGTACAGTAGCTTGTAAAGCTTAAGTCTTCAGGCAAGCCTTTTGGAATACTGATTTGGACTGACTCTTGCCCATTTTGGGCATTGGATGAACTGTATACAGTACATCCTGTAATATACCTGTTTAGATACCTACTAGGTTTTTTGACTAGTTTTTCAGTGCTGTGTTAGTATCGCAAGGGGAAAAATGAAAATGAAGTAAAGTTGTATTTCCAAAAATAGATTGGATAGCTCAATTGGGAAAGCTTATGCATTCAGCTATACATACAATTCTGTTCAGTTTGATAGCTTTACTTTCTCATGACAGAAGACCAGCCTTCTGGCATAGTGGAGATCACTGATTTATAAAGAGGCGCTACTTAGTTCAGAGCCGGGACTCGGAAGTTCTTGAGTGTGCACGTGCCACATATGGACATATTGTATATAGTACTCATACACCTACATGCAACGATGCATTGTTACTGTATTTTACGGGTTCATTTATTTAATTAATTTTCTGATTTAAAAAGCATACTTCAATCCCCATGATACAGGTGCAGCTGACTGCAAGTCCTAGTGAGACAAGAAAAACAGAATCTGACCATGACAAGCATATAGTATGATTGCTGTTGGTACTTCAGCAGCATACTAAACATTTGAGTTATTTTGTTTTGTCTTTGTGTTATATTTAATTAAATTCCTAATGTTCCCTTTTTATCTGGGATTATTATCCATGCAAAAGAAAGCTCTCACAATATTAAACAGCTGCTTTGGTAATAGTAAACAATAGTAAATGTAGCATTTATTAATCATGTTTCTGGTATGTAATCAATAATTTTGAATTAATTGCATAGTTTATTGTATATAATTATATAACCTAGCAGTATGCTTTCTTATATTGCGAAATATCGCCAACCTACAGCAAACCTTTTTTCCCCCTGTTGTACTTCTTTCTATGACTTAAGTTGTTAAGCAACATTATCATATAAATTACAAACACAGCATGTTTCTTTTGCCTGAAAATAGCAACAACCTACTGACACATTGTATTGATGGATATCTCAATATCCATCAATACAATGAGACCAGTTGACAATTTAAATAATACCAAACAAAGGCGAATCTGCTGTAGTATAGCTGGAACTAAATTGGTTTTATTTTAAAATAGCAAGCAATTTGCCCTTTAGTATTCTCATTAATAAGTGCAGGACGGGGGGTGAGGGCTAGCTGAGTTAAAGCAAATTTAGCAACGTTTGCACTTTGCAGCTTGAATACCTTACTCAGATGGTTTTGAACAATGGTATTGTTTGGCTGTATTTACATACTGTAGCTGCCCCTTGACAAAGAAACAAGTAAACATGGAGGAAAATACTGATGACCAAAAGGATCATTTACTCAGGTTAATTTAACTCATTGTAAATCAATTGAGGCCTGGATACTGAATAATAAGAATTTAACAGAAACCAGGCCTTTCCTAGTCAGGTCATTAAATCACCCTTCATTGGACCATAGTATACTGTAAATACTGGATTACAGATACATAGAAATAAGAGAGGAGAGAAGAGAGGAGACATGTAGATGGAACAGGAAGCAAAGAACGATCATCTTCATCCATCATGCTATTCTTCCTCTGCAAGCATCATGAGAGGGTGCCTCCTCAATATGAAATTTGAAACCAAATTATGTCCAGATAATCTGAACTCTGAGCACTGTACACTGAGCTTTATTAAATAACAGGGCTTCTGGTTTTATTTACTGAAAATTCTGATTTTCCTAATGGTGAAATCTGTAGGCTAAATACATCTGTCTGATTTTGATGTAGAATAAAGAAATTCATTTATGAGCATCTGTTTAAGATGAGAGAGATTTAATGCTGATTAGGAAACAATTTGTTTATTAGGTTGCAGTTCTCTCCATATAGTTTTCTTTCTATAGCAGGTTCTCTCTCTATAGCCTTTCATGTCTTTAATGGCAGTTAAAGTGGCCTTTCTTGTTACAGTTTATTAAGGAGTCTTAGATTATAAAGGCAGAATTCCAGACTTCCTAATGTCTATAGAACATAGGTCTCTGAAGCTCACTGAATTGTATACATAATATTTGTGTATAGTGTAACTGGTGTATGCCATGTGTTTACTGCATATACTGTAGTTGTGTTTTTATTCATCATGTGTTTTAATCATAATGTGTTCATTCATATGTTTTTAATAAATACATGTATTTAATATTTAAGCCAACGATAGCTTCAGTAAATAAACATAGAATCTTTAAACATATTAATTTTACTTTAATAAAAATAAAAGTAAATTTGAATGTTCTAAATGGTTCTGTTTACCATAATCAAAGCAGACGGTTTTTGTAAATTATTTCAGCATCTGTACCTTTTCTTAATGAGAGTTTCTTATGAAATTGAACAGTACTTACCTGATGAAGAACAATCTCAAGTACTTTGACCAATATAAATGTATTAGAGAAAACCAGGAGTATTTCTTTTGCTGTCATGAGAAAATAATCAGTATACTCAGACTGTTTCTGAAAACAGTCTGCAGTGTATAGCTGCAGACAGTCCTTTTGTTACACTTATCAAAACATGAAAATGCAGGAACAGCAATGAAAGAATTCGTTGGATTAATTAAGCATTCACATTAAGAAGCACATTTTAATTACAGTTTAAAAAAAGGTGCAGTATGCCATTGTCACTGTTATTTTTTGGCACAAGAAACATTTACAGATACTGTATGTACTGTAGCAGTGGATGATGTTAATACTGAATCCAATAAACTGTAGCAATATGTTGCTTTGAAAATTCAAGAAGTTCCTGATGTCTCCTAGGAATCATACAATCTGAACAAATGGGGGCATGCACAAACATTAAAAGAATACATTATAATTTTTAAATATAATAGTAAAAAATGCCAAATAAATCAATTCAAGTGTATACAGTATATTATGAATCAATCTACCATGATACAAATGTCTGATCAATTTCTCAGGTATTATATCATAACAGTATTAAAATATGATGACTATATAAATTACAGAACAACTCATAACGATCTCATGCAAACACTTCAACATTCATACATGCAAAGACAGATACTGTATTTGGAATAGCAGCTTAGTTTTTTTAGTGTAGTTATCATTAATTGTATAGTTAAGAACTAAGAAAAGTATGTTATTTACTAATTATTAATTAGAAATTAATTATGTTTTGCCAGGGGTGAAGTTTTAATGTGATTTCTAAAGTCCCATGACAAAGATATCTGGTTGGTCCAGGAAAAGAGGGAAATGAAGGTTCAGATTAGAAGACAGCTTCTTGAATTGAATGTGCACAAAAATTCCGGACTCAGCATGGCCTGCAAGTTATGATTTTGAGGGTGACAAATGGAGAAAGTACAGTACACTGAATATTCAATTATATTAAGTAAGGCTGAAAAAAGTCCAACTGTATTATTCAGTGATCGGGTGAAAATACTATTGCGAGATCAAATCAAATGTATAGATGGAGTCTGTACATTCTCTCAGTCCAGTAGATATTTTTAGGTAAGTGTGTTACAGTTGCATTTCAGACACTGATGTTCACAGCCATGTACAATAAGTTGCCAAATGTCTCAGAGAATATCACAAACTATTGTGTAGAGAATTTTGATTGGTTGTGAGATCATCAGGTGTAGTGGTAATCCCCATTTGGCATATTCTTCATTATTGGATCACTCTGGTGTTTCCAATGGGTTTATAACAGATGGCATCCAGCTATGACCAGAGGGCAGATATGCATGTACACTAAGAGATGTCGATGTCTGCCACTTCACCAAATTTATTGCATTCTGGTTTGTGTTAGGGAGCTAGTACATACTCCTGGTTAGACTTCCATCTCAACAGCATTCTTGAGAAACTTGAAAAAATTTCACTTTTTTTTCGGTTCAAGACAAGAGAGATTAGAGAAATTCGTATTATTACATTTCTGTACTCTTAATTCTAAACATGGTCCTGCTGCTACAGAGCTGTCACTAGGAGAAGGTGAAAAGGTGAATTCTGGTGAGTGAACAGCATGGGGTAGGAGCATTGGAAAGTATAAAACTGAGTGCAGAGCCATCTGAAGGCTGGATTCCACATCGATCTCTTTGTTTCTATGGTTTCACATATTAGAAACTAAGAAGGTGTGCATTTAGCACTGCACATAGTACTCATTTCTTATAAATAAAGGTTGCAACATACCTTGAACGAATGTCTTGGGCATGTTGCCGAAG